TTCTCCGTCCTCCATTTCTCCGTCCTCCATTTCTCCGTCCTCCATTTCTCCGTCCTCCATTTCTCCATCCTCCATTGCTTCGCCTTTGTCATCTATCCGGTCGCTTCCCCCCCCGTTGCTTAGGACGCCCCGCGCGTGCCTCAAGAAAAACTCATCGACGCACAAGTCCGTGGCATACACGCAGCTATTCTTCGTATGGGCAAACAAGGAAAACGAAATAAAATGATTCTGCGCTTTGAAATTTTTAACCTTGGGATCCTCCACTTGTATGCTGACATATGGAGTAAAACTGAGTAAATTTTTTTTGGCGAAATTCATCAATTTGTTTCTAAATACAGCAGATATTTTATTGCAAACAATTGTCCCAGCTATTTTTTTAACCACGCCAGGATCATGGATGTCGAAAGGTGTCACTGTTTTCAGGTTATCCATAAAGAAGACAACTTCCCCTGAACAGTCCGACTGTATTCCTCTTCTCACAATAGTAATATTCAAAAAATGATCGTCAAATTTTAAAATATTTTTAAAAAAGTGTTCGCTTACAATTTTACACGTATGAACAGTCGTATCAATAGAATCATCGGTTATTCCTTTTAATATCAATTTGACAGGGTTTTTAAAAAATGGAGTTACCATAAGGAGGAACTCAAGGAAGTATGTGATGCTTCTTTCCTTTCCACAGTGGAAAGTATTGTCCAAATCACTTATCCTCACTTCATCATTTACGTTCCCCATTAAAAATCCTGGTTTGAAATATAGCTCATCTCCTTCCTCATTGATCTTGATCGTTGTATCGTCGCATAACTTGTCTATAAGCCTTAGCAACTTTGCTTCGTACTCCCGCAGGCCTTCCTTCTCAACTCCATCACCTTGGTCATCTCTCCCGGATTTTTTTTTTTTTTTTCTTTTCCTGATATTTTTAATGGTTATGGCTTTCCCGCTGATCATGCTCAAAGCGAGTCTAAACCGCAGAAAGTTGCTGCCTGTGAATTCCATGGTCAGGCACTGTTCGGGATGGGTGCTGGTAAGTACGTTATAGACGTGATGAATAGATGCACTTACGAATGCACTCCCCCGGGATGCTACGCAGGAATGCCCTCCTCTGAGAAGCTACCCACTCGTTGTGGCCACCCTGTACTAACGCAGAGTGAGCCGTTTGGTCATGGCCCTTTAGATATAGCTCCCGTGTTGTTTAATGTATTGAGGAGATTTCCCACTTGGGACTCCTCACTCAATATATGCTACAATGTTTGGAACTCCACGAATCGACTCCCCCCTTTCGGGAGTTCGATTATCCTTTTTTTTTGAAAGACCAAGTGGGGGAAACCCTCCTGTCAAACGTTTTTGGGAGAATGTCCTTATGACGCTGCTGTTGGGTTCATTCCGTCCAGTTGCTCGCGCCTTTTTTTTTTTTTTTTTGCGTAACTTTATTTGTTAAGAAAGCGTCATAGAGAAATGTATCCTCAAATGAGGGAATAAATAAATATTTTTCCAGATGATGAGAATCGAGATGGGAGGCTATTTCCTTCCTTTCAATTTCGCTATTTGGCCAAAAAAATTTCAGAAAAAAAAAAAAAAGTAACAGGAATAACAAGAAAAAGAAACAGAAGTAGCATTGCCTTCGCGCCTCTTTCATGCCAGCAATTTTACCAAAACGTTCGGCGATGGCCTTAAAAAGCGTGAAACGGAGAAAGGGTGAAAAAAAAAACAAATACGCCACAACAACGCGCAGTGCAGGAAAACATATTTCGCCTCGACCTACTATAAAAAAACAAAGACAGTCACGTCAGCCGTAATTCCCTACGTGCCCAGTTGTAACACCTCTACAATTTCGATAGAACAGGCAGAAATTTATGATCATATTTAGGAGATCAAAATTGCCAATTTCAGTGGTGCCTTTTTTCTCGCATATATATTCTTTTCCAGTTTTCCAAAAAAAAAATATGAAAAAAAAAAAAAAAAACGGAGAGGATAATTAACCCAAGCGCGGTTCATTTATCACTAATATTTATGATGCCAAAGATTGTGGGGCCGCTTTCCTCGTTTAAGGTGCTCATGAAGTAAACCTGCGCCCCTTCGTTGCCACATTATGCCACACTTTAAAAAAAAAAAAAGCAATCTGCAATTTAAGGGCGCATGTTTGTTCGCAAAAATAGAATATAGGAAAAATGCCCCACAAAGGGTGAAGCGGTGAATGCTGAAGGAGCAGGTCTGAAATTTTACAACACGTTAAAACATTTTTTATTTTGCTTTATTTTGCCATTACTTTATCTTTATTTATTTTTTTTTGTTACACTTGTGCTGTCAACAGCTTACGGAAGCAGTTTGTCACGTATCTTTCACTGCGCACGACGGACACTAGCACAATGAGGAGGCACAGCCCCACCGCACTAAAATTTAACGTGTATAGGAGGAAGTAACATGATATGCCCGTCCGTCCCCATCAGGGGGGGGCGAGCGAATCGTCTATCTTGTCCCATCCACAATTGGTAACTTTGAATATGTTCATCCTTGTTATGTTATCCTTATAAAAACAAAAAGGACTTAAACGTCCACGATGGGGTGCTGTAAAAAGGTACACCTTCCCGAAACGTGGAGTTGGAGGGAGATCATTTTTTTTTTCTCTCTCTTTCTTTTTTTTTTATCCCTAAAAGGGAAAACGCCTCATGTGTACATACAATCGCCTTGTCCCATTTAGCCCCTTTCATGAAGCGATTTTATTCCTCTTTTGAGAAAACACTGACAAAGTGAAAGAACAAATTGTATATAGGTGACCCTTCGCTTTAAATCCAGAAAATTCAACTTCTCTTGTTCGCGTTCCATATGATCATTCTTTGCACATATGCTGTAACAGAAGTTACAGGAGGGGACACCATCGCATTTTAGCAAACGAGGAAACATTTTGCAAGTGGCACACCGTGTGAGGTCAAGAAAGGCAAGTCCGTTCTTTCCCATTTCCGCCTCGTTTACCAAGGGTCATAATACTGTCATTTTTCACCAAACCACGCGGCGAAGTGCTAAAATTATTTGAATCAATGAGAACCCGATAACTACAGACGGAGTACTAACCAAACGCAAGTATACAGAGAAAACAAAGCGCGGGAAAAGAACACACTTGGGAGAATAACCCGTACGGACGTTTTCACACCACGATAGACACAGCATACTGGCTTTTTTTTTTGTTGTTTTTTTTTTCTTGCTTTTTTTTCGCGCGCCCCCCCTTCCCCACAGAATGATTTCAGTCAAATTTATCCTTATCCTATTCATAATGATGTTTATGTCCTTTCCCTTCATTCCCTTCCTCATGCACAAATGGTCCCTAAATCGTAATAACATCTTTTTCGCCCTTCTGGCCATACTGATGACAATTCCGTTCTCCATAATTGCCACATACTCGTACGACAGAATAAAAAACGAAGACTGGTATGATTCGAAGGATGACTGAGTGCGGAGGAGTAATTAGCACGAGGAAGTGATTCGATGAAGCGGCGATGCGGTAAAGCGTTGATGGGGGTAGGGGGAGAGGAAACACAGTTTCCTTTTTTCGTGCATATGTCTATGTATGTCCAAAGAGGCCGTGAAAAAGTTATGTCAGCTTGGGTGACGTATACGCGGCGAAAAGCGCTTAACCTATTTGCAACGAATCGAAGGAACCGCAGACCCAAGTTTGCAGCAGAGAGTTATCCCTATTCATGGGACCTCCAAACGTGCATATAAGTACATTCGTTTGTATGTCGTCCTTTTTTTTTTTTTTTTTTTGCGTCTTTTTTGTAAAAATAAATTTCACCTAATGATCAGTTAAGCTATTCGAAAATATTCCTTCCTGAAAAGTTTCCCATTTGTGAAAAACTTGGCAACATTTAAAATGTAGTAAAGGAAAAAAGGAGGGCCCTCGGTGTGCGCAGTTTTTAGGGTATACCCCTCTTTGCATGTGTGCAAATGGTAATATGTAATGATTTTTGAATGGTTGGGGGCAATTTTACTCCGAATAAGGTGGCATGCCACATGCGTGTGAATGCTGCTACGGGAGCCGCATAAATGGAGCCTACATATGTACAGATATATAGAGATATTGCACATATATATACATATATATGCACACACGTGACACGTAAAAAATGGGACAGCACGGGGGGCTGAGGTAATGGCCCACCTGGGGGGTGCCTCAAATGGTCACGTATTGAGCCTCAATCTTGTTATCTGCCATAATTCGTAGTTCGTAATTTATTTGGGTGAGGAGAAATCTCTTCTTCAATTCTTCAAAACACTTTTTAAAGATGAGTAGGGCTTCTTCCAAACTCATATTTTCATGGTAGTACTTATCCAGGATGGCGTTCACTAGGTACGCGCCGTAGCCGTGCGCTCCCTTGTTCACAGCGTCCATGTTGCTAAGGTAGTCGCACCAGTAGAGTTGGTAACCGTCCTTCTGGGAGGGGGTGAAGAAAAAGTGGGTATGTTCGTTATGAAGCATACTAATGAATACAAAACGATTTGTCTCTTTTTCGAGGTGGGCAAACAGAACAGGGAGATATGCACACAAACGGACACAAACAGACGCAAACAGACCCGAACAGACGCAAACAGACACGAACAAACAGAAACAAACGCAAACACACACACAATCCTATTTCTGTTGCGAAAGGGGGAACCGCTCAGACATGGGGGCTTGTTCTCTTCGCCCGCATGTATACAGTAACTTTTTCTGCGCCCACTCCGCGCAGCCTTAGCGAAGCCTCATTCCCCTACGTTGTCGTATCCACCTATGAGGCAGTTGACCTCGTAGGGGTTTCTCCTCAAATAGTAAGCCAAATTCTTGCGCGTAAAAAAGGCAAACGATTTCACAAACAAATCGGTGGAGTTCTGGTACTGGTACAGGTGCACATTCTTCCTTATGAATTCACCAAACTGAATTCTATCTCCAATGGATCCTCCCAGGAGTAGGCATTTGTTTCCGTTAATGTCGTAAAACTTGGTTTTGTCGTCATTCTTTAACTTGATAATTGAATTGATGCTGTGCGTATCTGCCGCGAGGATTAGGAAGTTCTTGCCCTTCAGGCCAATTAGCGTATCCATGGATGAGTGGCTCGAGGGGGGGAAAAAGGCGGAAGCTCGGGATTCACGCACGGGCTATCTTCGTGGGCCAAATTGGGAACCTGGCAAACTCGTCGGCGATTAGAATATCGGAAAAGAAAAAACCATCCAATTGTTAAAGCGGAGTTGGTCGAAGTAAAGAGAGAGAAAAAAAGAAAAAAAAAAAACTAAACATAACATAACACATATAATTAGCCAAAAAGGTGGAACAGCACAAACAGTGTTGTACCTCTCTCTGCTTGTATTCTTCACCTTTAAGGAAGAAAAAAAAAAAAAAAATCACATCTCTCACAAAAAACCTTTAACAATCATGCCAGTGCAACGAATATGCCCTTTTCAACTCATGTGCGTGCACAGAGGGCGTGTCGACCTAGTTCGCTCCCATTTCTGCGGAAATCTGAGAGGGGGAAATAGCAAAATTCGCCGCCCTGCTGCGCACAGACCGGAGAAAGGCTTTTTCTTTCGACGCAAGAGGGGTGAAGAAATGACGCCCTCAAAAGTATTTTCTCTTAACATTATTGGAAACGATAAACCGCTCGCCAACCTTGTGTACAAATGTGCTTCCTAGCCACCCCTTAAGTGCGCACATTCCCAGGCACGCGCGAGGCGGGCTTCAGTCCAGACCATCACAAGGCAAGTCGTCATTGCCACCATCAGCGCATCGACACTGAAGCTATGTAGTGAAGGGAAAGCGGAAGAGAAACCACACGAACGATGGCTCCTTCCCGCCGCGGCAGGGGGAAAACGCGCCTGCTTAAAGACTAATCGCTCTAGGCAATCCCGGGAGCGCCCCTCGACAGGGGAATTGCAAGGAAGATGCCGCGACTATTCGCTAACATGCCGCAAAAATGTAGAGTACGCAAATGTGCCCGCATGTATGCCTTACCCTTCCGCGTGTATGTGCAAATAACCCAGTGGATTAAGTGCGAACAAACCGCTTCCTCTTCGCCAATTGCGAAGTGAGGCAAAGCGAGGGGCGAACAGAAATGAAACCCCCTTGGGGAGTTCTCCCCCTTTTACTTTTCGCACATTTTTTAAAATGTACTAATGGGTACAAGAAGAGGACGGGGGGTGCCCTGTATAACTTCCTCCTGGCAAGTAGAAGTAACGAACCAAACGAAACAAAGTTCAGAAGAAGAAGATCGCACCATGAGGTAAGAAGAAAAAATGTGCAAAAATTAAAAGACGTGAAGGATATGCATGTGGGACAGCTAAAAGTGGGCAGAGTAACAAACGTTGTCGAAAACGATATATTTGTGAAATTAAAAAATGACGATAATGAGCAAATTATAATTAAGAGGGAGAATAACTACCTCCTGGAAAATGAACTGCTGTACGAGTATTTACATAGAAACAATTTTATTGACCATGCAATGTATGCTAGACTGATGAGGAACGGGAACCCAAAATGGGAAGACCAATCCCCCTGTGTGCAAAATGACCCTGTCAAAGACTGCCTTGTTCTCGTAAAAGAAATTGACGAGAGAAATAGAATAATCGGAGAATTATTCACAAACGAAATGAACAAAAGGAAGGAAAAAATTTACGACAAATTGAATGAACTGAAAAATTCCGAAAAAAAAATTTTCATCCAAATTGTAAAAAATTTAAGGAATAAATATTTTGTCGTTTTAATAAATGGATGCATAAAGGGCTACCTCCTCTACGAAGAAAATGATGAGAAGGACAAACACAATGTGCAGCTCCTACAATCGGGCAAGAACGCAACCCGAAAAATTAGCGCATACATAATTGAAGTGAATAAAAAACTCGAGTATGTCTTCTTAAGTTTACACAAAATACCCAATAATGAAATAAATGAAAAATTACAGAATTTAAAACACACAATTGTCGTGGAAAATTTATTCGAAAATGTCTACTTCAAAGCGGAGGTGTCTGATTTTTGTAACGACGGAAATAACATCATTGTGAATATATTTGAAAGTAAAAGTAACCCCATTAAGGTGAAAATAAAATCTCATAATATTATCAACACGAGAAATATTCTGCGCAATTTTGATTACCTCAAAAATAAGGTTATAACACATCAGTTTTCCCTGTACAATTCGGCTGCCGTGGAGGAGACCAACGAAGACCGTGTTCCCAGCCACAAAATGGGACACCGAAGGGGGGAAGAAAGTGGGGACGGCCTCCACACAGGCGAAAGTGGCCCGTTCGAATCGCGCTACGCAAGGGATAGCACTCCACAGGACCAAAAAGCAAAAGGGTCAATACGCACCAAGGACTACGCAGATAAGTATAAAAAATTCAAGCAAGACTTCTACGGCTGCAACGAAGAAGATGCTCTCAAGTATATAAACGTGGACGACTACATCTTTAAGAAGGAAAAACTGCTGTATGTTCGAATCGTTAACAAGACGTCAGACCCCAATCTGTACGAAGGGAGCATGGTTAATGCGGATCAAATTAATCACCAGATATATGAACTTATAAAAAGGATGTCCAGTGACCAAAACGTCATTCGGGATTATGACTCCATGCTGAGGTACCCCTCCAAGGTTCTCGCATTCTTTAACAATTATGTGATTCTCTCCACCAGGGTTTTGAGCCCCAAAGTGCCGGCAGCACAAGAGAGCGCCCCCGAGAAGGGGGAAAATACCCCTTTCTGTGGCACCACCGGGTATAACAAAATCAACAAGGAACACGTAAGAGACGTCATCACGCTGATCGAGAAGCGACAAATCGATTATGAAAATCTCAAAGAAGGAGACATCTTCTTTTGCCGATTTGATAACATCAAAACGAGGAACGCGCGCAACATTTTTCACCTCTCCAATAGTACCATGAACAAAATCTTTAATTCGTACTTTAAGCGGGAGAAGGACATAATGGGGTTAGTCAGCCGGCGGGACGATGACTCCCCGCGCTGGGAGAGGAGCGTCTCCAGAACGGAAGGGGGAAGGGATACTCCCCACCAAGGGCTCAACATAGGAGAGCGGACCAAGTGGCCAGAGAAGAAGAAATTAACGAAGCAGGAGAAATCTCCAGCAGAGCCGAAATCCCCGGAACAGCAAATCTTCGAAGAGATTTTTTTCTCCAAGAGGGACTTCTACTTCATGAGGGGAGAACTACACAAGGACACTGAATACCGCCTCAACAAAAACAATATAGACAAAAATTTCAAATTGTTGAAGCACATATGTGACACGTACTACTCGGGCATTAACAAGGCATACGATCGCTACCCAAGCATACGCGAAGAATATATTTTGGCCTACCTGGGAAAGGACAATTACAAGCTGTACCGGAAATTGGTGGCCGATTATTTCTCATCCAATGAGAATTCTTACAAAGAATTTTTGCAAACAGATTGTGAAGCCATCCTTATGACCGTCTTCGATGTGGCATTTGAAAATCCCCACTCATTAACAGTGCAGCTGGTACAAAATTATAACAAAGAGCTATATCGAAAAATCGCCAGGCTAGACCTTAACGAACTAAATTACTTGCTAAAGGATCTAGATAAATTAAAAAAACAAATGTATATCTATCCTTGTACCTACAAGACGAAGACTGGACGAATGAACCTGATTTTGAATAATATGAAGCCCATCAAAAAAGAGCAGATCGAAATTTTAGACATCCCTGAAGACGTAAAGAATGAGCTGCTAAATGTGTATAAAAATTTCGTCTTCCCCATTGAGTACATAAAAGAGATCATTATAAAGAAGAAACAGGCCAAATGTCGGGAAAATAGCAAAATGCAGTCCATTTACATTTTGGCCGAGGAAACCATAAACCTTTATGAGAATTCTGCCAAGGACGTCGAGCCACTCAGTGACGAGCAAATTGGCGTCATCAGGAACCACCTTTTGAAGAAACGCAAGCCCGTCCCGGGCGACATGACTGAAGATCAGGACTCCTTCCGCGGGGATCTTTTCGAACCCGAAAACAGCCAAATAAGGAGGCTGTTGCACATGATAAAGGAGTACGCGCAGAAAGGGAGAGACAGGGACAGCGGGAGAAACAAACGCGCATGCGGAGAGGTTTCTCCCGTATGTCTATCGTTGTGGAGAGATTTCCCCTGTTCCACTGTAGACGTGCCCCACGCGCAGCGCTCATGATGCCCCTTTTGCCCCTTCCCCCCACGCAGAGATCTGGAGAAGCAGAAAAAGAAAAACAAGCTGGACGAAGTGGACCGTGAGTATGAAAAAGAACAGAACAGTTACACCGAAGCCACGGACCTCTACAAGACGTACCCAGAGCTCCAGGAAATGGACAGGCTCACCGAGGATGCCTTTCATATGAAAATTCCCTTTGTGGAATAAACACATTTACTGCTCTTTTTTCGCCGCGTATTTTTGCTTCCGAACATTGCTCCTTCAGCACATCTGCGTATATTTTTACTGGAGTGTCAGTAGTAAAGTACTTTCCTGTAGGTGGAAAATTTCGGAGTTACAAAAAAAAAAAAAAAAAAAACGCAGATCGGGATCCCGTTCGTATTGTTTTGCAAATCGTTCCCTTGAAATGTGATATTTTAAAATTTCAAGTTTGAAAAGTGAATTTTTTTTTTTTTTCCTGTTACGATTCACTCGTATGGCAAATTGCCGTTCAGAATTTGATTCACGTCAACGAGGGTCCATCCAGACGACTTCAGGTCTACCGAATCTGGCGATTGTAACGAGAAGAAAGGGTTTTCCAGCTGATTCTCGAGGATAACTTCGAAAAGCACATTTTTAACTTCAGTTTTGGTAAGACAGTTGGAAGAAGTCTTGTCGAATGAAGACAGGTCATACGAGAGAGTGACCAACATGTGCATGCGAGTGGTGACTCCATTTTTAATTATATTTGAGAGGAACTTCATTTTGTTCGTGTTCTTGAGGACAGCTAAATCATCATTTTGCACACATATATATTGATAAAGGAATTTTTTTATATGTTCTTTTTTCGTTTTTTTCCCCTCTTTCCTAATTAACCCTAATATGTTATATATGTACAGCAATCTCATGTTCTCTATTTTTAAATTTTCAAAATGCAAACTCAAATTATGCGATTTTAAAATTTGGAAAATTTTTAAAAAATAATCCTTCAAATAAACGTTCGTCATTTTAGACAGCTGATCTTCATCTAACTCCTTCAGCACACTGAAAAAGCTGTTAACACAGAGGGTTACTCCATCGAAATAGGAATACTTTAAGTCTTTCAAATCTTCGCTCAGGATGTTGCAAAAGTATAGGCTTATGTAGTTCCCCAGGAAGCTTGTGCATTTTCTATTTTTATGCATTAGGAGCGAGTTTAGGAAGGCCTTCATTTCGCGCCTGCTCGGCTCATGGGTAATTTCGTGCAAAATTTCGTAAATATCGCGTTTTGGAGGTTTGCCTTTTTTGGGGGGGTCACTTTGCGATTCGTCGCTTTGTAACCCACCACTTTGTGATCCGCCACCTTCTGGGGGTGTGCTCACCCCTCCCCGGTTGATATCACCTGCGCAGCTGTCCTTATCATTGTTAAGTTTTGGCATACTTGCATGGTGACTCGATTTACCACGAGCTTCATTCCTGTTATTATTTTTATGTTTCTCCTCTTCTTCCGCGGAGGCTTGCTTCACATTCCCCCTTGTCAGTTTTTTACTTGCGTGCTTCTCATTACGGGGGGCACTCACATGAGAGTCGTTGCCATTTTGTAAATTCGAACTTCTCACCGAATCGCCATTCGTCTTCTCCATGGGCGGGTCACTTGATTTCGTTTCCCCTGTGTGGAGCGCACCATTCGTGGTGTTACCCCTGATCGGAGTAGCCTCGGTTGCTGCGGTTGCAGCGGTTGCAGCGGCTGTCGTGGTTGTCTCGATTGCCCCGGTTACCGCGGTTTGCATAGCCGCAGCATTGGCCCCGCTATTCACACCTGTGCACGAGTTATAGGATTCACCTTGTGTTAGCCTGCCGGCACGATCAGCTGCCAAATGTGCCGCGAGGCCGTCTAGACCTTTAAAGGTAACCTCCCTAGTGGGAAGCTCCTTCGAGTTATTTTCCCCCAAACTGTCGCTCAATTTGGAATAAAATAAATTTCCCGTTGTGTCCATATACTTCGTCTTCTTCAAACCAGATTTTATTTTTAAATCATTTTTTTCTTTCTTATTCTTTTGTGCATATAATATTTTCCCATTCATAATGTACACATCTTCATTGGTGTCATCCTTCGCAACGGTTTTGTTTTTTTTTAAACTTTTTAATTTGAGTTCTCCCACATGTTTAATTTTAACTTCTTTATTCCCGGAGATGTTAGTTGTGATGCTTCTTCTCTCCTTTTCAAGAAAGCCGAATGGACACCTTGGCTCGATCGCGAAACAGAAGTTCGTTACTTTGAGCAAGGCGTTGTGGGTGAGTATTGGGATTCTCCCTTTCATCCTGGAGGTCTACTGGACTGGGACAAGAACACCAAGGGGGGGGGAAATGGTTCGCAGGGGGCCTCCTATTACACCAGGAATGAAGCACATCTGGTACAATTGCGCCTATGTTGTCCTATGTCACTATGGTTGGCTACTCCTTCGTTCCCCCCTCTTGGGACAATTTTCTCCACTTAGCCAAGGTAGTTTCCTCTACATGTGGCCCGTGTGACACGCATTCATAAGTGCATATACATGCGTATACAAATGGGGGCAAACTTTTCCTACCATGCCAACTGCGCACAGATGGCAATGCAGCACACGCCCTGTCGTCGCTCGAGAATTCTTGTCCCTCACAATTTTCAGCAGTACACTTAATTTCTTAGGTATAACACTTTTTCAATACTGCAGAAAGGAAAATTCTTTTCCGCTTTTTCCCGCGGCAGAACGGTTAAATTGGGGCTTTAAAAAAAAAAAAGAAAAAAAATGGAAACTTAAACTGAAATTGAAACTCAAATTAAAATTAAATCTCGGGGATGCAGAGGAGCGGTGTAGTACTGCGCATACGTATGAGGCTTAGCGACAAGTTTCGGATATCTTTTTTCCCCGCTTCGCCATGTGGCCAACCTACATGTAGGCGAGCGAGTCGGTATGTTTTGTTTATTCAAGGCACATTTCCGGCATCTTTCGGCAATCTTCATTTTTTTTCCCCTTTGGCATGACGACATGTTGTCACCATAAACCGTCACATTATAATTTCACTAAATAGTTCCACCTTTTTCAGCCACCCCAACGAAACGCTGTTTTTTTTTTCTACCACTACAAACGTAGAGGGAAGGACCACTTTTGAATTGCTACTTCTTCCCCCCCACCACCATGCAGCATCCAAACATGTGCTATGTAACTTCCATTCAGTGAGGCCAACGTAGGGTATGCAAAAATAGGCTGAGCGGCGAACGGGTGGACTTTCTCTCCCTCTGTCAGTTTAGCAGCAACTTCTGTCGTTTTGAATCTCGCCTCCCCCGCTGACAGACTCTCAAACGTTTTCCCTTGCACATAATGATATTGAAAAGGGGTAGGACATTTTTCTTAACCCTGCAGAGACGTCGAACCTTTTCGGAAAATAAAAATTACCTCAACAACAGTTACCTGAATTATGTGCAGGGAAGTAAACAAAGTGAGGATGGAAAAAAAAAACAAAAAGAGGGCAGTGACCATTTTGGTGAAAAAATAAACCAAAGGAATAATCAGCCTGTGGGGGGAAATTTCAAAAATGTTAAAGACATACGATCATATAATCCTTTAAAAAATAATGAAGGTTATTCAGCCAACAATAGAACAAATGCGGGTGTAAACTTTGCAGGTGCTAAAGAGGTGGACCCCTTTTCCGAAACGACGGACACCCAGGAGGGTTATAATTACACTAGTGCTTCTATGGAAAGGGAGACTACACAGGAGTGGTCACCAGACGGTGGGGAAACACACCCCTACCAGGTGCTTGAAACGACACAGGGGGGAAAAGACGAAGCAACTCAGAAAGGTAAAAAGGGGGAACATACAAATCACAGTGACGACTCTGCAAAAGAGGGAAAACAGTTCCCCTCCAACAGCGCTCAGGAGAAACCCCAACACAGAGATGACCCTTTTAACGCACACTCGGGGAACACAAACAGTGCCAATGAGGAATACATAGATAACGACACAGACCATTTCGAAAGTACACTTGACGAACCAAATGAAGCCACAGAGTCCTGTCACATGGGCGGAAGAGACCAAACGGGAAGGTCCAATTATGCGGGAAATCCCGAATCTGGAAGCAACCCCCAATTTGCACATGAAAAACAATCTAGTAACAGCCCAAATGACGGCTCATGCAAATGGGCAGAAAATGATGAAGACATTCCCAATATTTTTGAAGTCGATGAAAATTTAAGTGAAGAAGAAAAGAAAGAAAAATTAAAACTGATCAAATTGATTACGGAAAAATTAGCTGGCCCTTTAAAAACCAACAGTCAGGACAACCCCAGCAGTGGTTCCGAGGGGGGACAGAACAGTGGCGAAGACTCCATCTTTGCTGATAATCGACCCATAGCAATAGAGGTTGATGGGCCCTCTCACTTCTACGCGAACAGTAACAGGTACACGACGTACACGAAATTGAAGCATAGGATTCTGACCAAATTAGGTGAGTAAAAAGTGGACCCACACGTCCCGGCCGCGGAGGACATGTGCCAGAGGGGATCGATGCGTAGTTATCATCAAATGGTTTCTTCTTTTGTGTCCACCCCGACCTCCGTGTGTAGGTGTACGTGCGCGTGTATGTGAACGTGTTTACGTGCCTGCGTATGTGAGCGTGCATGTGTTCGCTGCCAACCCAACTCCTTTGCTTCCCCACCCCTCAGGCTACAACGTCATTCACATCAGCTACATCGACTGGCGAAAACTGCGGAACAAAAGCGAACGGGAGGAATTCATTTTAAAAAAGCTCAAGGAAAAAAATGACGAATTTTTGGACGAAAATGACAGGATATATTATAACGAGAGGATGAACATGATTAAGGAGGATTACAAAAAGTTCATGAAGGAGAAAAAGGAAAGTAGCTCCTAGAGGTGAAACGGGGCGTGTGCAACTGCCCCTTTTTTATGTATGGTTTTTTTCCCTTCCCATAAATTACCAACCTTGAGAGCTACACCCGTGGGGGACTCCTTTTTTTACCTTTTACGTGCCTGTTAACATGACATCCCAAAATGAGACTTCCCCCTTTGCACCTTCGCGTTTCTTTTATAAATGGCATTAAAAATAGTTACTGAACCAGTTAGCTAGTAAAATTTTTATCGTGAAGGGAAAAAAAATAAATCAGTTCAGTTGGAAGACTAAAGTCAGATTGTTAGTGGCATCTGAATTGGGGGCGAGCAGAGCGGGGTGAATTTATTCCCCCAGTTGTTAAGGGGGAATTTTTTGCAGCATAGACAACGTTGGCAGCGTTAGCAGCGTAAAGAAAAAATGGACACGTGGAATACCCACTGGGAATACATTCTTCGCAAAAGTCGAGGCAAAGAAAGTAAGTCCCCCTTTTTAATAAACAGAAGGGGACGTTATAAAAATGGAGTACGAATAAGAGCTGTCTTAAAGGCGAAGAGGTTTATGCACCTGTTTTCGCCGACCTCAATGAACCAATTAGTGGCACATTTTAAAGCCAAATAACACATCGTCTATCCCCCCACGGATCACACAAACAAAGGGATGATTATCCTCTCCCCCCTTTGCAGAAATTAATGCCTTTTTAATATTTTACACATTCTAACGGTATGTTTTTTTTTTCTTTTTCTTTTTTATTTTTTTTTTATATATTTACTGAAACATGTTTTTCTTTGGAAAGAAAAAGTAACGAATTAAAAAAAAATAATTATTATGGGGAATTAATTTATCAAAGTGGGGCATGCAAAAGGGAGAGAGGTGTATGTACACACACATACAGAGACACACAAACGTACGTTTGCAAATACATGTACACAAATGGACGCCTAAGTACATGCGTAATTGCATGTGTAATGGCACCCGTAGGGGACGCGTCTGATTTTCGGATGCTGCAAAAAGTGCGGCGTGGCGCGAAATGCATCAGCTAAAGCAGTGGTAAAAAAGAAATGAATTAAATCCAATGCGAAGAATCGCATGTGGGTGAAGCACAAATTTTATAAAAACACAAACATTGAGGTCTCGATAAAATATTCTTTGACATTACCGAGGGGGGAAGGGAAACGGGCGCATTAAAAATGGCTCCACGCTCACACTGGTGACAGTACGCAGGTGTGGGGTGGCAATCCCATTCTTCCACTCATGAGGATAGGCGAGCTAATTCCCGTTGTCTCTATCGTCACACAAGGATCAAAGGTGTACGTGCCATCTCTCAGAGCTGACTTCCAAATGAGCACACGAGACTTATTTCGGTTTACCATTTTGGTGCATCACATCAAAATTGCGGCATACAAAAAAAGAACACACGTGATACCTTTCACATCGGAAGAAGCACCAATTATGCGGCACACCAACACACACAAGTGGGTTTCTTTTTTCCTCACCCTAGACAGAACTTTTCTGTTTTTTTTTTGGAAGCAACGTTTCCATCATGTGCTCGGCCCTTACAATGGCCCATTATCGTACTGCGCATTATGGTACATTCTTTTATCGTACGTCCCTCTATCCTGCTTCCCTTTTTTTTTCCTTCTTTTCTTCCTCTGCCCGCTGGACATCTTCCTCTTGAGTGTAATTCTTTGTCAAGGATATGACATCCTCTTCACCGATGTCTAGGAGGCTAATAATTCCCCTTAGCAATTTCTTTTTTTCTAAATTCTTGTAATAATCTGTGACTCTCATTTTGTCCGTGTTGTAAAAGAGGTTAATATTTTTCTCGATTAATCTCCATGTCTTTAGGTTCACGTTTAAATTATGAAGCACCTTTCGCGTGATGTCCTTTTTTGCCTTCTCCATGGATTGTAATTCTTGAATTAATGGCATTACAATAATTTCAAAGAAGTAGACTTGTGTGCTGGGTATGCTCTTCACAAAATCGTGGTTGTGGATAAAATTCAGTTTGATGTAGCTAAAGTCGTAATTGTTAACGTTGTTGATGTTGTTTATGTAGTTGATGTATATATTTTCATAGTTGAAAATCATGGCTTCGTCGATGGAGTGCTCGTTCCCCCGGGGGTTGCACTGGTAGGAGCCTGTGTGAGGGGAAGTAGCAGAGATGTGCGTGAGAAGGTCCACGCAATCGCGCAAGGTTAACGTGCGCAGTTCGCCTTCACATTAATGCGCAGTTTGCCATTCACATTAATGCGCATCTCGCCGCTCCTCACCCATGCTCTTGTTCTTCCGGTGGAGCTCCTCGACCTTCTTCTGCGAAAAGAACTCCTCGCTGACCAGCATCGTCCACTTGGCGTGGTCGCGCCACTTCAAGCACGTGTGCCCAATGTCAGCCACCTTGATGTTGATCGTGCCCAAATTAATGGCGTCCCTGTCG